AATAACAGTTTTACAGGACAGCGTATCAACCTGTTCTGTTTACACTGTTGTGTTCACAATGTCCCTATAAAAGAAATGGATGGATCACCGACTTTTATTTGGACCAACACAGGACCCGTATCAGTGGATGTTGAGCCACATCTTAGACTCTTTCATACAGACACGCAGCTATTAGAGCTGGAATTAGTTGTTGATTAGTAGATTGACAAACAATGTATGGTAAATGGCAACTAGTTTTAGTTGACCAATTCAATATTTCAGTCTTTTTTGAAGCATAAATGAGGCTATATGCCATTAGGCTCCGGAAAATTATATTATAATTAATGTTCTTCTCACATTTCATAGATAAATAATCACCACATTAAGCACTAATGAAAATAATCTTTATTCTCTATCCTCCTGCACCTTTTCACTCAACCAGCAACGCTCACAGCACAGGACACATTTGGAACAGGTTCACAGTAACGTTTTGTACATAGTCTGTTTAAGATTCCCACTGAATCATCCACCATCCTTCTCACTGCTACAATACAGTGTGTACCATAATGTATGAATGGGGTGTGTATAATGGCTGTATGTTCATCGGTTCAATTCCAACTGTCCACATAATCTACTTCAAGTGCAATATGTGTAATGGTGTTATCATTTAGTCCACTGACCCATTAACAGTAAAGTACCATACTTTTATGTATTTTATGATTTTGTGTAAATCAAATAATAATGTTTGTGTGTAATTATGAAACATACACATGGCATTGGTTTGAAAGCCATGTTAAGTGTAAAATTATGTACATTACAGCATACAGTATTTATGCATCTATTTAAGTACTGTATCTATAAAATTCTTGAACTTAAAGTGTCAGAGACCTAAATCTGTACAGAAAATATACTATTTGCAGTTATTAACGGATCCATAAAGCTTTTTAGTTGCAGTTGTTGTATTAAACCATGCAGTAAAATATGTTAGTACAGAAACAGAATAGCTGTTTTTTTGCTGATGACTTGAGTTTATAATAATAAATAAAAAATGGCTATGTCGTAAAGAAAAAGGTCAACATTTACTGTTAGGCCTTCATTTCTTATCAATTGCATTCTGTCACCAGCATCTGGTTTCAGTTGAACCTTCTGTTGCTAGTAGCAACACTATGTCAATGTACCACAGCAGTTCAACCACAGCCACCATTTTGCTCAATCTCTGACCATGCAAAGTGTCAAGTGTATTTTTATCCATGTTACCTGTTATGTGATTTGTTTTCACTTTACTACCAACCAAGCTACCGAGGTAGTCACTATACTAGCTGTCTGTGTTGCTTCTACAACATTCAGTGTTTGACTTAACTGTTTATTTGCCGTTGGGGTGACAGTATCTCCAGCTAACACTAAACTGAAACTGAAATTGTTTACACTGCGCTCACACAATATCAGTGCAGGAAAATCAGATTTAATCTTTTACTCTTCAACTGACATTTCAACATGCCATACTCAAATAGTCAAATGACAATTCAGCTGCTTTCGCCACTGACATTTCATTGTCTTTCTTTTCAACTATTTTAACTCCTTTCAATGCTTACACTTCAGCTGTCACTTCAAACCCTTTCAGGGCTCAGGTCTTCGCAATTGAACAACAACAAAAAATCCTTGTTCAACTCAACTTTTACTTTTCAGAGAAAAAAATAATACTAACTGCTTTCGCTTCAACTAAAACCTCTAGCTCAATTCATGAGTTTACACTTCAGCGGATATTTCTAGACATACAACTAGACATTATGTGCCATATTCTTTACATTTTACAATCTTCATGTATTAGAAATTGTTTCATTAAAATGTGTATATAATATGATTTTGTTGGTTTTCCCTGTACACTTGACATCAATTGCATGTCTCACTCATGTCTCTACTGCATGCCTCCTATGTGGCTCTTCCTGAGGTGTCTTCCATTTTTTCCCTGTTAAAGGGTTTTTTGGGGGGAGTTTTTCCTTACTTAATTGAGGGTCTAAGGACAGAGGGCGTTGAATGTTATACAGATTGTAAAGCTGCCTGAGGCAAATTATGATTTTAAATAAATACAATTTGACTTTACTCGACATGACTACTACTCAGTGCTTAAACTTCAATGTAATCTTACTTTCATTTATTTCTGACTTTCATTTAAACTGAAAACTTTAATTTCAACTGAAACTTCAACTTCACTCATTGCTTACACATAACTGAAACATCTGCTCCTTTCAGCACTTCCATTTTAACTGCTTATTCAACTTCTTTCAGTATTTGTATACACTTCAACTAACTGTTTCAACTCAACAGTAAAAATTCAACTGGGAGCACATTCTTCTAATGTAACCTTTTTCTGGCTACAACTCTTGTTCATGGGCTCAACTTTTTTTCAATTCATTAAATTTGTTGTGCAACACAGTTTTTGAAGTTTCACAATAGCTTCCAATAACCTCAAATGCCAACCGCTGTCTTTATTGGAACGCTTTAGCATGCTGCATAGCTGTGAACAAACATACATGTATAGTGAGGGCAGAATTCAGATGTTTGGTCCTCAGTCATGAAAACAACAAACAGGTGTTGGCCACCATGACTCCTTACAGAACACTAATTATACTGTGTTATTATATTTTATTGATGCATGATGCACCAAATTGTAAATTAAAATCTATAACTTACTTGGAAAAAGCATAATGCTAAATCTGACTTGATGTTTGCTAACTGAATAAATATAAGTTCTGTGTTTTAAATCAAACTAAAAAAGAGACCAGATAGTATGAACACCTCTCAATCTTTTGAACACCTTTTGAACCTTTATTCTATATAACCAGCTTGGTGAATGAAGAAGCATCAAATATTTATTACAAATAGCCATATCAATCATAAATATTCATTGGCACAGGACTGTTATTCTCTGAGAAAATGTATTGACAGAGCTGGCATGAGATTCTGCAATTATTCGACAGAGCAGCCAAGGTACCGCAGAGAAGCCTGTCTTTACCACATCTTATTCATCTTATACAGTTCCCTACTTGTTCTGATCTAATATTCTCTGTATGCATCTCAGCTCTGGTACCTTTTCCACTAATCCGATGTTAAGTTTATATCCCAGCGGTAAGCCAAATGGGAAGAAGTTTACATTGTAGCTGTTTATTTGAATGAAGTTTATTTTTCATTAGCATTGTATGTTTTCATTTGCATATCCAGTAGTTTGTGCTATTGCAAATTCTAATTCAGGTGTAAGAATGTATTTATTTTGTTTTACTGTAATGGTGCATCAGGGAGACTACAACCTTGGACTTTACCATCATGATAAAGTAATTCCAAAACATGACAAAGGGAGTGTACAAAATAAGTAATTAAAGGTTAGATAACTAATCAAAGGTTCAATATAAAAACAGGGTAAAAACAGGATCTATTAGTCATTTTTTTCCCTCATAGAATACTGTAAACGATACTACAAAAACGAAACATTTGTTATCTAGCCATCACTATTATTTATCAGTTAATTAGTCATTTCTGTCATCTGTGAGAAAGAAATGTTCTCTCGTCGCTGTGCAAAACAACACAAAACAAAACAGTCTCATGCTCACATCTACAGGCCCACAGTTGCTTTCAGTCTATTATTTCCATCCATAATGTGCACAGGTGCAGCTTAATTCAATTGGAAGACATTGCTGTGGCTATACACAAATACGTTTCCATGTTAACAGTAAAGCTGTTGTCATGGAGATGATAAGGCTTATATAAGCTCAAATGTATTTTTGTTCAAAATGAGCGCATTGTCTTCACTGTACTCATTTCATTATGATTTGTTTATACCCACACATATAACAGCAATTGATTCAACTGTCTCCGTCTTTTTGTTCAGGCAGGCAGAGTATAAAGCAATACATTTTAACATGCATTTTTTTTTTTTTGATGGCTAGCAAGGCTTGAAGGATCTGCTCTCAGGCAGAGACATTTTATGCCATCTGCAAAAGATGATAACAGGCATTTTGCATTTCCCCCTCAGTATCACTTTCATCAGAATCACTGTCAGAAGCAGAGCTACAGCCCTGATATTAAAAACTCAGATGTCTGGTTTCACAAAAAACAATGAGATTCTTACCTCTCAGCCAACTATGCTCCTACAATGGCAAATGCTCTTGCAGTCACAGGGTGGGATTGTCATTCACTTCACCTTTAACCTTCTGTCTGCCTCCAGATCTAGCTTTCAGCAGAGGATTAAACAGCTATTGACAGAGGAGTGACGTGATTGACAAGTTAAGGTTTCCTTCCTTGTCAGAAGGGCCTCTGTGTCTGTCTGGCCCATGTCTTCCCAGAACTCACATTTCACATTCCAGCGTGACTTGAACAACTTCTGAATTTTTTTCTGCTGTGAAATACGAGGGAAATTTCTGCAGCCCCACTTTTCACACTGTTGTCTAAAATGGCTCCTGTGCATCGACAGGGGGAATAAAGTTCCTGAATAAACTAGCATTTGAGTGTTATGTAAAGTTCTTACGTTGCTGTTTGTGTGCCTTTAACAGTGTTTCTCTCACGCTGCCCATGTCCAGTATTCATCAGCACAGGAACACCTACAGTCTGCAGCAGACACTCGTCTCAGATGAGGGAATTTTCAGCCTCAGTGGAACATGTGGGAGTTAGGTAGTTACTGTATATTCATTTTAAGCCTTTGACTGTATTTCAACTGAAAGAAGGGCAGTTGGCGGTGGTACTATCACCGCATGTGCTTAAGCTACTTCAAACAGACAATGACAAAAAGTTTTGAATAACCACTGTTTAGTTATGATTTTGTCTGGAGAGCCCCTTGGTTTACAGGTACAGCACTTATGCTTCATGGATACATGCAGCACGGTTACAAGATGATAAGCAGGGTGTTTCTTAACACTTTGACAGCTATGTAGAAAAAAAACAGAATACTAGTGGAGGGAGGTCAAAAATGAAGTGACGTTCCCCCTAATGTTCCTGTCAGATGATACAATATGTATGGCAGGTAAGTTAGCTCTATATCAGTAAGCAGGGACAGAGAATAATAGCACAAGGCGTAAAGCTAGAAGGACTTGTCTCTCTGTCTCTCTCAGTCATCTGGATCCACCTGTCCACAGTCAGAGCCTCTCAGAAGATTTGCTGCTGGTTGGGGAATTCGTGGCTGAACGATGCGTCAGGGGTTGTCATATAAAATGTGAGTGCTTTCCCCTGAGTAATTTAATCACAGACTTTTATGGAGGCATCAGCCAGCACACTGAGAGACAGAGTAAAAGGATTGTAATTGGACTTCTTTCATTCAAAGTAATATATGGAATATGTGGTATAATTATAGCGCAGGGTAATGGTCTGTGGACGGCTGAAATGCTAACGTGCAGTGATTGCTTTAATGTGTGTTCATCAGGGGGAATTTGTACCATATTGACTTGAGACTTTTCTTCGGTGGTATTTCGTTTGGGGTAGTCACACATTATCGTGTGGCTTTCATAACCTCCCAAGTACTCATCGCGACCATCCAGGATGATTGAAAACTTTGTCTTCTCAATAAATGAAACTTAGCAGAAATGGTCTATTATGTGCCAAATGAGTAATTTGTGTGGGTGATGTCTAAGGTCAACTCTACCATCATTAAAAAGCTCTTGAATAGTCTGGAAACCCTCTTATGCAACTGTGCTGTTTAAATAGAAATTGCTGTTGACTTTATAGCTTGTTAGCTACTTTCATTTCACCATCTGCTTCACATGAAATTTTGGTGACAGCAGATTGTTTTTGTACTGCATATTGTGCTGCTGCCAAGAAGGAGAATTTATTAACTTAACTGAAAGAGGAACAAGTAATGTCATCAATATTCAGTGCCTTTTGTGTTGATCCATATTATGAGGTGGGATAAAAAGAAATTGTCAATTTGTTTTTCTTAAGGTAATTTGTAGAAATCTTAAAAAAGAATGAAACAAGGTCCCACAATATCAGTAAAATACAAGTGCATAAAAAAACTCCATAATCTCCATATTTTCTCATATTTTACACATTCATACATTTACAAATATAAAAATATAGCCTGGCATCAGCAGACTAATTCGCAAATGCTGGAGCAAATGAACCACGAGCTTGCATATTTGTCTGTTTCCCAGGCTAATAAATGTAAATATCAGTAAAATCTAAATTATATTTATTATTTGTTTACTAAGTATTGCGTTTACCGAGCTTATTATATATATGTATATATATATATATATATATACATATATATATATTATTTTATCTGAGTTTGGTCTACCACCATGGTAACTCCCTGTCCCAGAAAAAATCGTACATCAAACACTAAACGTATTTGTGGTGACAGAGAAATAATTCTTTACTGGAAACCAGGCAGTTCCGGGACGGCTTGGGAGTTGTCATGCTGCATACTACATGTTTACGGTACCTTGGGCCTTTCCACTCACATCAGCCAACTCATTTTTCTATTTCTCAGCTAAAGAAATCAGGTGAATCTGCCGTTCCACACAGCCTCTATGCAATGTGGGTGTGCCAAAACAAGCATAATCTTAACCGTAAAGTATACAGGATATTGTATGTAGCATAGTTATAGAGAATAACAGAATAGTGTTTTATATGTTATTTTCCTTAATACAGACTCATATAAGAGATTTTTATTTGTGTCATGTGACATCATCTAGATGAGCTCCAGACCTCTTCTATAAGTAAGAGGAATGCGTTTTGCCAAACAATTAGCAGTGTAATGTAACCTGATGACGGCGCCACCCAAACGTTCAAAACATTACATTTAGTCACACTTTCCATCATCTCGCTCATCATGAAACATTACTGAAATTAGATCCAGGTTGGGAGTAGTGTGTGTGTGTGTGTGTGTGTGTGTGTGTGTGTGTGTGTGTGTGTGTGTGTGTGTGTGTGTGTGTAGGTGTGTGTGTGTGTGTGTGTGTGTGTGTGTGTGTGTGTGTGTGTGTGTGTGTGTGTGTGTGTGTGTGTGCTCAGCAAGAGACATAGGCAGAGAGGAAGCAGAGAGCAAGAGAGAGAAACAGAAGAGGACAGCGTTTCACAATCCTCAGATAAACTCAATGTGACAAGATGGTTACTTTCTCCCTCTGCTGTGACAGTTAATTCTGGACTAGGAAAAATGTCAAAAATGTTTAGCTGCGCTTGAGCAGAGTTAATTACAGAGCCCAAGGCAACTCAGACTAGGGCTGCTAATGGCCTTGACTTACAGATAAAGCTCCATTTACCAGGACTATTTTTTTAGCTACTGCTCTAATTTACTTAAAATCAAATATTTTGGCAGCAGCAATTACATTGTCACTGTTTGGGTTAGAATTTAAATTACATAGCCAGTCTGGTTTTGTTTCACCTGCCATTAACCTGATTAATGTTTATTACTGTTTTCATCATTTTGTAATGCTGTGGTGTATTGTGCACAATGTTGTGCTTAAGGGTTGGACGGATGCATGAGAAATGAAACTGCATATGTGCAAAAATATCCTTAACACTGGTTTGACATTCATGCTCCAAACTGCCACACCTGACATTTAGACCCTCTGACCACCTATAGAACAATCTCTCTCTCTCTCTCTCTCTCTCTCTCTCTCTCTCTCTCTCTCTCTCTCTCTCTGTCTGCCTCTTTCCGTCCTTTGAGGTCAATGAACCACAGTGTTAGTGTTTTCAAGCCCCTCTTACATGTCTTTGTGGTTGCATCATTTCCTCCTCACAGGTCCCTCGGCGCTGCTGCATTGACACGTGAAAGTCTATGAAACAGCAATCAAGACATCAGTAGCACAGGGGCCAGAGCCAAGTGAACCCAGTCCCAGAGATCGGGACCCAGAGATGGCCCGTGAAATGAGTTGGAGTTGGAAAATCACCGGGGGGGATATTCCACGCCTCGCTGCCAATTTCACTATCATAATCAACCTCAGCTTGTAGAATGATATTATAGGGCCAACTATTTTCGCTGACACTCTAACTGTGCATAGATTTTTGTGGTGCAGAAGATAAGAGGGCAGATAAGAAATATGCGGGGGCTGAATTGTAGATGAAAAGGGAAGTGCTATGTTTTTGTTAATCTGATCTTAAATGTTTTTGTGTCAATTTTTAAATTAGCTTTACGAGACTGAAGCTTGGTTTTGGTTTGATTTAATGTAGGCTATTAGTTGCATCCATAAATGCTGACATTGAGCAAAAGTGAAAAAGTGAAAAAGACAAATGCTTTGCCCCATCATCAGTGGCTTACTCAAATCTAAGAGGCCATAATGTACTTTTTATCCATCAGGGTATCACTAAGTACTAAAGGCTATCCACACTATTACAAAATATAGTAGATTTCAATACAGCTATACTTTCTGTAGACAAAACATAAGGTTATTTTACCACATGTATCTGTACCCACAATCAAACAGACACTCAATATACTGAATCCATAAATATACATTCAGTTCTATTGACACGTTGATGCCCTGGGATACACAAAAAAAAAACCTATGAACATATGGCACATCCAAGGCCGCCTGATATCTACACAGGTTCATTACATCTGATACTTTATAAATTAGTTTTATGAGGCATGGTTGCATTGTAATAAACAGTTCCTCATTGGAAATATAAATGTTAGATTTCAAACTGAATGGCAACATGTCAAAAAGTACCTTGAAGGTGGTTTGTTTTCTATAACAGTTTTGTTACAGGTCTGAGGTTTGTTTTAAACTCCACATGAACCAGTAAATCACTGTAGGTAAAGTACAGGCTGTGATGTCACACATTTTATATTGTTTTTGATTGACCTACCCTTGAATAGGTTTCTTTTTCTTCAGGCGACACAACAAAGACATGGGAACTGTCCCTAACACAAAAAAGTAATGGTAAGGTGAAGTAATAATGTTCCTAATAGGAAATCGGTATGTTGTACCAATTTACCTGAAGAGACACAATAAGCAGTAATTAGTTATTGATTTTGTGCCAATGGAACATTATGCAGATTAATCAGAGGAGATTTGTTGAGAGATTGCAGGTTCACGGATAGGAAGTAAACACTGATTCATCAACTTATTATCCATCAGTTTGTTCTCAAGTAACTTATCATAGTGTATTCTTTGAGTTATTTAGGATAGCTATTAATTTATTTGAATTTAGTTTCAGATTTGTTCCATAATCATACTATCTGCTCAGGTGTAAACTAAAAATCAAATGTCTTGTTTGTTTGTAGTTAATCCTAGTCAATTCCCAAACCACATTTCACAGAGATAATTGAAAAGTTTGACTTTTTTTTTTTTTTTATGAAGGTTGACTGTTCTGTATAATATATAAACACACCTTTAACAGTATCAAAACACGTGGTGGTGATACTTATAATTTTAGTCCCTGAGTTACTGTCAACTATATTTGTCAGACTAATTTATTTACTTGTAGATTATACCTTTAAGACACACATCAACCTTTTTTTATTTCCAATTTTGAGTAGTATGTTATCTTATTGTCCCAGTGTTTCTTCAGCATAGTTTATTCTATTCAACACGCAATCTACCACTATATGTTTTTAAATATAACATCACTTTAGCTATCATCTACTACTAGTAACAGGAATACTAAATTTTAATAACTAAATTTTTTTTTTTTTTTTTTAACTAAATTTACTTTTTTCCACAGTTAAAGTTAAACCCAGCATGTTGTCTTTTTGATATACACATGAATCTCTAATAGATTTTAAAGGACTAAAAGAACAGTTTATGTTTAAGCTTAAACTTACCAACAAGAGGAGGACACATGCTAAACCTTTGTCGAGCAACTTTCTTTAGACGCCATGGGTGTGTTATAAATTGTAGCTCATTGAGATATTTAGCTCTTAGCTACATCTTAATCTCCACATCAGGTGTTCTAGTGTTGTGCTTGCCCACTCGGAACCTGATATAAGTTTATACACACTGACAGTACTGTGCAGATCTTTTGTACCAGTTGGATGTTGTATCCACACATGAAAAACACTTGAATATAGATTTAAACACTTTGTCACAAGACTTGACAATTAAAAAACAAATCTCTGAAATTGATTTTTTCGCTGTTAATGACAGTTGGAAAATATCTTCCCGAAATTACTGAAAGGTTTTCACAATAGATTTGAAAAGGAGAGAGACCTACGTGTAAAGAGAAAATCTAGATCAATATATGTCTATAATAGGCTACAGCGGGAGACCTTTGAAAATCTATTTATACCAGGGAATAAGCTCCTGCCTCAGTGTGTGTCTGTGTGTAAAAGAATGGCCTTTCTTACTGTAAATCTCCAGTACATTGCACAGATCTCTCAGGCAGCCAAAGCCAATCATTTTTATTCACTTGCAATGTACATCTGCCTTTGCTATGAATATGGCTGTCAGTCTCATAAAGACCATCACAATAGAACACACTCATTAGTACTGTGTTGCACTGTGCTTGAGCATCAAGCGCCTACCACCCTTGACTAATTTTCTGTTTGTATCGAGAAACAAAAGCTCTCCAAATCCCCCCGTGGGCCCCAGAGTGGCTTTACCGCACATCAAACTATGCTAATTACCTTTTGCATGATTAATTGGACCAATTAGAATTAGTAGAGGAAGAAAATGATTCTTGGCAAGGTGCGAAACATTAATTAGTCATAAAAAACGTTTATTAGTGTTAAAATTTAATCTCACGGAACACAATGGGATTAAGGGGAAAAGACAGTTAATATGTGGCGTGTTCAATCACTCCCGGCTGCAGATGGAATAATGAGTGTCACCGCTTACATTGTGCTCCATCACACACACACACACACACACAGCTTCCATCCCTTACCACAGTTACAGTACTGTTAGAAAACACCCATCTTCATCCATCATACAAAGTGGCAGTTGTAACACAAACATTCCAGCTCTGATTGATGAGTCAAGACCATACAAACGACTTATACACAGTAATCCCGTACAAGATTTATGGCCTGAAGGCGATGCATTACAAATTTGCAATAACAAAATCACCAACAATAGAAGCAGCGGCAGCCCCAGCAGCTAATGGTGATTTAGCTGTGGCAGCATTTATAATGGTATGGTATGGCATTGGTAATAACAACGTTGCATTACACTAGTTTACACAGTGTGTCTGTAGCATGGGAATTGACAGCCGCAGGGCAGTTGTTTATGATGGTGACAAAAACAACCAGGTATGGTATGGGCAGTGAGGAGCGTGTGGGTGTTTTCTCACATTTTGCACATTCATGCAATCAAATAACACAGGGAGTGGCTTCACACTGAACAAAACCTTTGCCTATAAAAAGATAACTGTGCTCTGCATGCATACATGCTGTACATGCAAATGGTTGGTGTGCGGTGATCACAAAAACTGTTGCAGATTAAGTGTATTAAAAAATGATTGCAGCAGATTTTAATTTTCAAGTTGTTTAACAAAGTCTTCTCACAATCTGTTGTAATCCTCTCTCTCGCTCATTTAAGAGCTACAAGGTTTTTGCTTTGTTCCAGGGGGGAAAACCCAAACAAATGAAAAACTGAGAGTTAGAGGTGAAATATGAAACTTTAAAAAAAAAAAATCACACTTCAGTCATCATAAACACAATATACCAACGGCCTCGATAATGAGACTGTTTGCTGGCTTATAACCATGTTCATCAGCAGATGTTTAGTGTGGTTTTGGCACTTGTCTACTGTATCACAGAAGAAAAAATGTTCCACATTGATGAGATGACTGTGTTTTGATGTGACTTGATTTGCAGTTATGCATGCACTGTATTTGTGTGGTTGGTATCAAAAAATATTGTAGCCTAATTTAGTTTCCTGTAAAGTGATAAAAATACTTCAAATGAGAATACTATAAGAAAGAGAAGTTTATGTGGCCACTGCTGACTTTGCTGGTTTAAGTGCACCAGTTAAACAAATGGGGAGTGTGAACTGTAAAACATCACATAGAAATGTATCATCAACTTAAACTGACCATGTGTAGGATTTAGTGGAATCTAGCGATGAGATTGCAGATTGCAACCAACCGAAACCCCTGTTAACTAAACCAAGCGCAAAGGAGAACAGAAAAACGCAAAAGGCCCTATTTAGAGCCAGTGTTTGGTTTGTCCATTCTGGGCTACTGTAGAAACATGGCGGTTCAACGTGGCACATTCTGTGGAAGAAGACCCGCTCCCTTTGTAGATAAAAACAGCTCATTCTAAGGTAACAAAAACACCACGCTTCTCATTTCAGGTGATTATACACTAATAAGTGTATGATAAATGATATGCATATTTTATTCCATTTCTGCAAATAGATCCTCCTAAAAGTTACGCACTGGACCTATAATGTTAATACGTTTTATTAATGTCAAATTAAGTCAACTTAAAAATTCCGAGATGTGACGAATGAATGTGCTGCTCAGAGTTCACTAAACATAATTCATTCATTCATTTAAATTTGTCCTTTTAATTCTTTTAGTTCAAAGAAAGCAGACATTATGGAAACTTTCTGTTTGTATTTTAGTACATGTTAAGTTTTCCATCTTCACTCAAAAATGTGTTTTGCTTATTGTTTCTTCACGTGGATGTTTGAGCTCAGCTGTGCAGAATGATGAGTGTGAAGAGTTTGACACTAGGTACCATTTTCACATTCATCTGCTGAAGGTGGAAAGTTTCTCTGGGTTCACATTGAATTGGAGTTTAAGACGTGTACAAACATGATTTTGTTACATCACAACCAGTTTGGAAGTCCATCATGGTTCAATATGCAACTCACTGAAGTGTGATGTCTAAACTTGAAACCTCCAGTGCACAAACTTTAAAAATGGACTTTCCGGTAAAGAAGCAGACATCTTGTGTCCTGCAGTTAAATTTTTTAAATGAACAATATATATATACATATATGGTTCTGGATTCTTAAGTGAGGGAGAAGGAGTAGATGTAATTTAATTTAAAACTTTTTTTGAAAAAAAAAAAAATATCTAACATAAATTATAAGTGTATCAGAGTTAGCGTATTAGAATTGGTTTGTATACCGAGTAAATCTGTATGTCCTAAAACACTTCCGAAAGGGGTTTAAAATCATGTGTATTTCCTCTGACTCTAATGGAGGTTAACATTCACTTCAGTCCTCACACTACTCATTTAACAAGGTCAC